AATAAGAAGGGTCAGCGAGTTCCCAACACTATTTGCCAGAAAATCAGAGCAGACTTTGTTTCCCACCATGGAAGCAGTTTTAACTGAAGAGTCGTCTCAGTTTCTCACAATATTTCTCTCAATCACAATCCCTCGTCCTCCTTCTTTTTCTCTCTCCCTCTCTCTCTCTCTATACACACACACGCACACACACACACACACAGACACACACACGGGAACCAAAAAAGACAATTTTTATTTTAGAGGGCAGGCCCCTTGTAGTACTTCCTTACTAGGTAAGGGTTCTAGATTCCATCGGCGTCAGCATGCCAGCTACTGTTGTGAGAGGCTGCGTTTGGTTTCAGTGAATTTTATTTTCTTCGGAGATTATTTCAGTATGCTTTCCCATCGCCTCCTGGGTGACTTGCCAGCATACCTGCCCATACCATGCTGAGTGTTCGGCGGTTTTTGACCAAAAAGGGTATGGTCCCCGTGCCCCACCCGCCCTATTCACCTGATCTCAACCTGAGTGACTTTTTTGGTTTCCCCTGTATAAAAAAGGTCCCTGACGGGCAACATTTTGCCCATGTGGAAGAGATAAAACGGCAGAAGCACTAAAAGGCACCAGAATGGACAAGTTCAAAAACTGTTTTGAGCAGGAAAAAGCATCTCGATAGGTGTGCTATATCAAACAGAGAGTCCTTGGAAGGTGACTGAAGTTTAAACATGTGAGGATAAATACACGATTGTTTACAAATAAATTCTGTGTTTTGGGGGCCCCCCGTATATATGGTATAATACACACACACATGCGTGTACGCGTGCTTAGGTAAGTATCTCAGTTCCTAGCTTAGGAGGACATCAGAACCTCCAGAGAACTGGGTGACCCAGACAAGTCCCCACAGCGTGCAATGCGTAGGACTCACACGAGGTAGACATTTTCGTCAGCAACTCTTAGAAATATAGCCCCCAGAGCACATCTATTGGATGTGCTATGTCTGGATTATATGCTGACCCTCTTCTGTAGACATCGCCTACACTTTAGAGTAGGGAACCTCTTTCAATGTAACCCAACTGTCTTCACACTCACACTGAACTCAGAGCTATCACACCAGTGGAAAGTCCAATCTCCCCCCTGTCCTCTGAAACCCCTGCAGAGATGCCCCATTGCCCTGAAAGACACCCCACACGCCTCAACACGACCATCACGCTCTCCTTGATCTGGCTTTTGTCTCCTTCTAGTCTTCTCTCTCACAGCTTACCCCCTCACTCCAGCCTATCTCCCTAGAAGACAGTGCCCTCCCTGGACCCCATCACCTCTTGACACCCCCCTTACTGCCCCACTGCTCACCACTCTCTTCACCCCAGCTTACCAGGCAGGCCAACATGGCCACATGAATGAGGAGTTTCAACAAAATGATCTCTATGCTGTTCTTGCCCAGTTCCTCCTTCAGGCTTCGTCTCCCTGGAAACTTCCCTGAACACTTAGGTCTGGTTAGGTCCGGTTCCTCCTTCCTCAGGGCTCCTGTTGCCCCTGCAGTTACTCTACTGGAAATTCTTAACTCTATATTTTAACAGCTTGTTAACTTACTTGTCTTCTCCATCTAGACTTCTTGAGGAAGCCACTGAGTTCCGTTGCCTAGTGTACAACCCATGCCAAGCCTACAGTAGGGTCTCAAAAATATTTACATGATGAACCTATAATCCTCAGTGGCACTGAGAGAGAGTAAGGGAGAATGATGGATGTGCCAAGTCACTTCAGCATGATCTTGGGATGATTTATTTTCTGCAAATAAATTTTCTTGGCAGAAACACAGAATCAAAGTGAAATCCCTATGCATGTATCCACCAAAAATTCTGTTATTCAGTGACAGAATTTTTTCTAAAATGCACCACAAACAAGTCACAATTCTATCTACTGGCATGGAAACAAGGGAGAAAAGACTACTCAAGCTTTATAGTTGGCTGAAAAGTCCAATGACTCTGAAGGCAGATACCCAAAAAAACTCAATCTGATCCTCATATACTCATAACACCTGGCATCCTGGGCACTTGTTGCTTTGGTCAAGCATGCCCATTCCTATCATAGCTCCTGGAAGTCATATGGAGCCTGAAACTACAGTTTGTATTAACTGAAGAAGAGTTGGTAGGTTGAGAAAGATTGGATTTGGGCAGACTCGATTGAATAAAAACTTGCCTAAAATTAAACCTACCTTCAACTTTCAATTTGGGGGCCATTAAAGTTTCTTTCTGTTTAAGCCAGATCAAGTCTCTGATCTAGAAAGTATATTTATTAAGTGTTACTGGAAGACTGTTGGTCAGAGGCAAGATCAGAGATTCTTGATGCTCTATGATAGAAAATGCTTCTAGACTAACTAAAGAATCAGGCAGTGTTAGCCTGGCTTCCACACACGACAAGTTACACAAGTGCTGTTTCTATTGTACATGGAGGTGGAGACCTGCACTCTCAGATAGATGTGAGCTTCAGTTCAGGATCTGTCCTGAAAAGCCTCTGTAATCTTAGAGAACTCTTTAGCTTTCTCAGCCTGTTTGTTTTTATGTAGTATGACGAGTTGAAATGAGATGATCTCTTCCAGTTATAAAAATGATTTTGTAATTCTCACTTCTCAGTGCCTGTTTGTTGAGTGCAAATCTGTTGAGTGACTTCATGGACCCTACAAGAGCAGACCTAGATGCTACTGGAAAAGGCCTTGAGCTGGTCCAGACCCTCTATACTGTGGAACTGTGTCATTTGGATCTGCAGATCAAACTCCATCACCATGGACAGACCGTGTAGCATGGCAGCCATGCAGCAGGGCCCCAGGAAGCACAAATTCTAATAGCAAATCTGCCCGCAACACAACTTTTTCACAAGAGTCTATTTGTAGACCCGATGTGAAAAAGTCTGAAGCATCTAGATGGATATAAATCAATATCTATGAACAAATTTATTCATCCATTCTTGGGCGATCCCTGATTTTTCATCTTTTTTTTGATTAGGTAGAGTTGAACACGGAAGTTATTGTTTCTGGGACCAGAATATCTTTCTATTGAAACCAGAAATTGGTAACAGTGTTCAACTCAAGTCACCTGGCTTTGGAAGACCAATTAGTTTTCTCTTGTTTGTGGTCTCAGACTATGAATCTGATCTTAAGCATCCGTCTTGCAAATGACTGACCTTGGGCACTAAGGGGTCTCCCGTGGGAAAGCACAACAGACGTGCCCAAGGTCATCACTGCTGCAAGCACAATGGAAAACACCTGTTCTTCCATGGAGGCCTCAGCAGTTCTTACATCAGACATTACCGAGATAGTCCTAGAAAGCCCTACATGGGTCCTACAACACTTTTTAATAGGTTTTTGTTGTAATTGTCCTGTTTTTATTATATATATAAATATATACTAGATATCATCATTGATCCAAGTATTTTGGGGAGGGCTATCATTTAATCATGGTACACAAAAGTTAAATAAATTATTCCCCTCTGCTCTTTTACTCTTTATTTGCCCTTCTTGGGTAAATCGTGGAGAGTCTTATGTTTCTTGGCTTCAGTGATTCCTGTGGTGATGGCCTTCGATCATGACTCTAAGCTGGACCTCTCAGAATTCCAGCTGAGTGTGTCCTAAGAGTTAGGTGGAATGGCCTCTTGGATTTCCTAGCATCATTTTAAATGCAACATGACTGAGATCAGATCCATTCTGTGTGGCACAACATCGGATTGTCCTAGCATCTTCCCGATTCCTGCCAATAGAACTACAATGTCCCAGCCCTCCGGCATCAGTACCACCTTGAAAATATTCTCATCTTAGCCTCTCTCTTGTGTCTGTCATCACCAGCCTTTCAACATATGACACGAAGCGGCTCATCTCGTCCCTTCTCCTTAAGTCCTTGTACCGCCCTGGTCTTTGTCCAGCACGACTCGTGTCTAAACAACGCAGCAGCACAACTGCACTTCCCGAGTCATCCCAACTCTTGTTCATCTTCCTCTCTGAGCCCTACACCTACCCTTGATCCTGTCATTCCCGGACACCAAAAAGGCCATTCCCTTCCTGTCACGTCACATCACGATTTCAGAACTTTTCATTTTGTACTTCCTCCTATCTATTCAAATTAAACAACACTGTGGTTTATGCTATCCCAGGAGTTGCTACACACAGTGTATTTCCTTTAGCGTTCTCCCCCAAGTGCTCTCCTGGCTCACTGCATCACCTCGCCCCAAGTGTTTATCCACTACTCCACCCCATCCCCACCCCCATGGCTTGCCTGCACTGATTCCCCATCGAGAACGCCCTTCCTTTCTGTCCTCCAACTCCCGGCAGCCCCTCCAGGAGGCCTGCCCTTTCTATTCTCACCCCCCGCGGTCTCCCTCTCCTCTGGACACCCATGATATTCATGGTACTTACCATGTGTGATCCCTGAATAACCTGCTATTTCCTATCTGTTCTGCTTGTGTTCTTCCCAACCAGATCATAAACCCCCTGATGGTGAGAATAAGACTATACAGTCCTTGCATGCCTCATAGTGCCTGGCAAAAGATACTCAATACGTAGTTGTTGGTTCACTGAGATTGACTTATCACGACAGAGGGAGAGAACAGGAGGCAGAGAGAAAGGAGAGTAGCATAGAGCCATGCATTGCTTAATAACAGGGATACATACGTTCTGATAAATGTGACATTAGGTGATGTCTCCATGATGTGAACTTCACAACGTGTACTACACACCAAGGCTTTATGGGACAGCTTACTTATTGCTCACGGGCTACAGACCTGTACAGCGTGTTACTCTATCCATTGCTATAGGCAACTGCAACACAATGGGAAGCATTTGTGCATATAAACAAAGAAAAGGTAGAGTCAAAATTGGGTATGATCACCTCACAGGACCAGAATCAGATATGTGGTCCACTGTTGCCCAAAACGTCATTCTACAGCGCATGACTGTAATTCTGGGTCTTGCAGATAATTATTCGGATCTCTTGTTCCTGGTCCTCCGCTGCCCCCCTTGTGAAGGCTACTTTACCTGCAGAACTGAACCTCCTGGTCGAACTGGGAGTTTTCTGGCTGCGTTCCCTCCATCAGCTGGCTGACGTTGAAGAAGGAGAGGGTGTGGTTGACAAAGCCATGGAGAGTCCCATTGTGACTGTAGGAGTACTGGTACACCAGGCGGGGAATAAAGTCAGAGGTGATGGCAATGACAAAAGCCTGAGGGACAAAGCACAAGCGCCGAAGAGGAGTCAGGACGGATGCTGTCTGGACGGCGCAGGGCCTACTGCTGAGGGGACTGTCCACGCCGGGCTGTCGATCAGAGGCCTGCCCCCAGGGACACAGAGGCTCATGCAGCGTGCTCAGGTCTCGGCCTGAGCTCTCGCAGCTGACGCACCTGGCCTTTCCATCTATGACATGCACGAGTCAACCCACCAGACAGTGGCTGTCCAGAGCGTGACTCACAACCGTAGCAGCAAAGGACACTGAGCCAGTTTGGACTGTCTGATGCTGGAAGAATGAATCCACTTCTGTGACATTTGAATTGGCATTAGTTGTTGGGCAACACAAAACAGAATGCCTGTGTTCCTGGGAAACTCATCTGTAGCATCTAGGTTATCTTCAACTACATGCAATGGGCAAGGATGTGGCATGGCCACATAACCTGCCCCCTGAGTGACAACAGTAAGCCGGGAAGAGCAAGACTGTGATTCCACAGTTCTCTCAATGCGGCCGTTATCGCTTAACACTTTTTAGCACATTGGGTCACGGCAATTTTTCTTTTATTCATTTTATTTAAGAAGAGTGAGACACAGAGGGGAACAGAGTAGGCCTTGCTAGCTGACGCCACACATACCCAGCACGGCGTCTGGCATATCTATGTGCTCTATAAATGTCTACCGAGCCAACCAAACCACAAGTGAGTGATTGCGTGTTTGAATATGGAGGTACTTTCTGCAAAGAAAATCTTAAATCTTTTTGGCAGGTGTTTACACAGTATCCTGCACCAACAATTAAAGCCCTTTACAAAAATGTAGTGTAGGTATTATTTTCTAAATGTATATATGATTGTGAATGGCCATGACCATATTTGAGGATAAATAACATGCTGATAATAGTAGCTAGAACTTACTGGGCACTTGTTATATGTGCTTTCATCATGCCATTTAATTTCCAAAATTATCCTATTCAGTGGGTACTATTATTATCTCTCATTTTATAGATAAAGAGGCCAGGGAAGCAAAATTTCATGTCGTTCTGTTCTGCAGATGGAAAGTGATTAATACTCAGGGTCTTTCTTCCAGCAGACTCAATTTCAAAGTAGCCACTGATCTGTTTTCCGAGTTGTACTTTATTTCTATGCCTTAAGGTATACACATCCTACACCAAAACCTTCAAAACGCAGTAGGCTGATTTTCTCTACCTCTCCCCTCAGCCCTCCAGACACTTAATGTGTCCTTACTAGGAAATCAGGACAGAGCCGAATCATTATTTTTCTCCCTAGGAAAAACGGCCCCTGGCTTTGTTGGTGTGCACCAAGCTGGCTGATGCTTTCTGGGGAGGTGGGACAGGAGGCCCTGCCTGGCCACCGTCCTCACAGAATGCAGCAGAAATGGAGCTGGCTCAGTCCTAGCAGGATTTCCTCTGCAACGTGGACATGTCTGGCACGGCACTTCAGGAGGTCACGACAGGTGGGAGCCCTCTTCTTCCATGTCCCATCTTAACCTACGCAGTGCCAGAGTCCCTGGGGATAATTAAGACGTTGCGCTGACAACTTGGAGGGACCGTAATTAGGGATTGCAACTTGGGCGACCCTCCAGGTATTGTTTGACTCGGGAGCAGGATAAGAAAGGAAAGAGATGAATAGATACACAGAATTCTTTCCTCATTATTCTTGGCTCTGAGGCAAGATCTGCTGTTGACTCTTAAGGCCAAGGCATGCAAGCTGGTGGATAATTACCCTTCTTTATCTTAATGAAATTAAAAATAAACCTGCACAGCTCTGGCGACAGCATGATGAGAGGCCAGGCGTGTGCGCACCATTAACCTGCATGCAGCCTCCAAGGACACCCTGAACGGGAAGGCCTGGGAGGTAGCAAGCACTGATTTCCTGCCTGGGAGACCCCAGCTCCTCTGGAAGGCCTTCCCACAAAGCCAGGGCCGTGAACATAAGCACTTACGTTGCTGATAACAGAGAACTTGCCGATTCCAGAGAGAATGTCAAACCAGATTCCTGGAAGACAGAAAGGAGAGTGTCTGGCTCACTCCCACCCTCAGCCCGTGATGACGACACTGCAGCCCAAGGTGACGTTTGGCAGGTGACCTACAAGGGGAGTTTTGCCAGGTCCCCCAGGATTGGATTCGTCTGGAAGGACTTAGGTGCCCTCCTGTCTGGAACCTCAGGAAACAAGTGGAGTTGGATAACACAGCCCCCGAAACCCCCACCCACACTGCACCCAAGGATACGAAAATGAGGAAGCCCAAGGGGTGAAGAAGCAATGGCTCTCCCAGGCCTCTTCATTCACTGTGACAGCGGCCGGGGGGACAGAGCAGCGGGAGGGAGACGGACCTGCCATGGCCACCAAAGGGGGACATACCGATGTCTTTTGTTCTCACAGCATCTGGCCTTCTCAGCTCAGTGACAAACTTCTTGGCATCCAGCCGCACTTCAATGACATTGTTGAGGAGAGCAAACACGGGCGCCAGGGGAAAGGAGGCCACAAAGAGGGTGACGAAGCCAAACTGGATGACTGGGGGAGAGAACAGCGTGAGAGCCTTCACCGGGAGCCGGCAGGACTTCCACGTTCCCCCTTGCCGCCACAGCCCCGTGTCCTTTCTTCCCTCCCCTGGCCTCCTTCCCACGTGGGTATTTCGCAGCCTCCCTTTCCTCCTGCACCTCACACAGAGGCGTTTCTTTCTTGGCACCTGCAGGCCTGCTGATCAGCACCATCACTTGGGAGCAAAGCTATGGGTTGGGTGCAGTGGTGGGATCTGAGACAAGGAAAAATCTGGACTGTCCCCACCAGCCATGATCCCCAGTCACTAATCCGATCCATCTAACGCGGAGCTGGGAAAACTTGCTCAGTAAAGGGCCAGCTAGTAAATATTTTGGGCTCTACAGGCCATATGGTCTTGTCACAGCGACTCAACACTGCCATTGTGGAGTGAACGCAGCCGTAGGCGTCACGTAAACAAAGAGGCTTGGCTGTGTTCCGATAAAACTTTATTTACAAGAGCAGTCAACAAAGCAGGCTGGATTTGGCCCGCAGGCCATAGTTTGTCAGCCTTTGATGTAACTTCCAAAACTACCTCCCAGATGTGGCATCCTCTGCCCATGTCTATGGTCACCACCTTTGTCTAGAAAGTTTGCTCATCCGCCACACGTGACATTGAGAGCTGACTGAACGTCAGGCCCTGTGCCAGGGATTGAAAAGGCCAAAGGTCTGGTCCGCCTTCAGGGAGTTGGGTTTGGGGTGGGAGAGATGAATGTACACAAAGATGTGCAAGAAGGGTTTGTGCGTGCCAAGAGAATGAAGAACATGCAAGGACAGAGGAGGCCCATCTGAGGCCGGGTCTGAGGGAGTCTTCTGGTACAACACCTGAGCACAGCCTTGAATGACAGGCCTGCAGTTTCCGGGAAGGCCGAAGCCAAGGGAACTTCCAGGCCGCAGACAGCTGGGAGGAGTCGGGTCCCACCTGGCCCACTGTAAGTGTCACAACTAGGTTTCTTGTCACCAGCCTCCCAGGCCGCTGGTGTCTGACCAGCACGAGCCCCTGTCTCCTACCCGCTGGCTCCCTCTGTCCACTGAATATAACCCATACTCACTTGTCAGGCCCAAGGCCCTTTCTAATCTGCTCCCAAGCCCTCTCCACCTCCATCGCCCCCACAATGGTCACGCTCCTCCCTGCCTTCTGGCCCTCTGAACTTCTCGCTCACCCGATTTTTCCCTGACACAATAAGTCCTTCTGTACCCAAACACCCACTCTGCAGCTGGCAAACTCCTATGCATCCTTAAGAACACACAAAGGCCACCTCCCTGGTGAAGCCCATTCTCCTCCTCCTCCGAACCCTACCACCTTGACCAGGCCTCTTTGGCAGGCAGCATCGTGTGTTGCCGAGATGGGCCTGATCCCACATCTGTAGCTCCCCCTAGGAAGGCAAGAGCTCTGTCCACTCCAGAGGCTCAGGACCTATGAGGGGAGACTCCCCCGAAAGCAGAATTAGCTTTTGGAGGGCGGGCCCCCTGTAGTACAGGCTTTCCCCACGAGGTGAGGTCACTTTGAAGGTGACTGAAGTTCTGACATGTAAGAATAAATACAAAATTTTTTTATAAATAAATTCTGGGTTTTGGGGGGGTGGCTCCCCCTTGTATTTGTTGATGGAAACACAGTCCTGAGTCCCAGGAAAGTCACAGTCTCATAGAACTTCCCTACGTACCAAGGGCAAGTAATTAAACCTCTCTGTACCTTGGTTATATCAACTGTAAATTAAGGATAATCATAATGTCCAACGAATTCCCACAGCAGTAAATGACATTACTGTTACATACAGAATGCAGATAGAACAATGTCTGACATGTAATAACTGTTCAATAAATGCCACCTATTATGTGTAATTGTATTCTTATTGAAGTAAATATCAACGCGTGTGGATGGCTACAATGCATACTGTATACATATATTCTAAACAGATGCAAATGTAAGGTCTAAACACTCTCATTAAGGAAGAAGAGTCAGGAGACCCAACTTCTAGACCTGGATGTGTTTCTAACCAGTCTCATGGCTTTGGCCAAGCCTCTCTGTTTCAGTGGGCATCAGTGTTCTCGTTACTAATTGAAGGGACTAATTAAATTCCCTACAGATCTAACCTGCTACGATTCTATGATTCTCATTCTCTTAGACAAGCTTCAAGATTCTAGGATATTCAAATAAAAAATGAAAAACCAGGACCCTAACTGAAAAAACATTATATTTTTACAGAGGGATAAACCCACCACAAATAGAAGTTTCAAGAAAGAAAGCAGGCAGAACTTTCCCAGCCCGACTGATTTTGATTTGGCAGTTTGCTCGGCCTCCAGTTGCGGGTCACTGCTCTTACTGATACAACCCTGATCACTGCCATCGTCCTTGATGCCTGCTGGGTTCTCAGCAGACCCTAGGAGACTGGCAGGTGCCAGTAGGTAGCAAGACACTTGCACCGGAAGGCACAGATTTGCCAGGGTCAGGTCCTCGGAATGACCACCTGGCTAGCTGGTTGGTCGATGGAGACTGAGGGGTGGTAAAGAAATCTTCAAAAACAAGCTCTGGTAGCCAGTTCAAAATGCAGAGTCTATCACATCTTTTAAATGAGGCTTTGCTGAGGAATTTACTTTGGAGTCCGGGGTGGGTTAAGGGCAGGGGGGTGAGGGGAAATTGAATTAACAAGGAAAGCAAAACAGATGTTAGACTAGTTTTCTAAAACCTGTAAAACGTATGTCTGTACTTGTGTGTGTGTGTGTGTGTGTGTGTGTGTGTATGGATGTATCTTTCTTTATGGAGTTCTAAGTTGGTTTTCTTGATTCTGATGAGCTCAGTTCAACAGGGCAAATGTTCTTATCATACGTGACTTCCTCCAGCAGAACTGTGCAAACTCTCAAAGCCTCAGCAAGGGCTTGGCAAGGAGACCGATGGGGAGGGAGACGGGCAGTTTACTTCTGAGTGACTGCAAATATCTACAGCATGCTCCCACCACATTTGTGTAAGCGCTACTCAGAAATTCTACATCCCGCCAGGATTACAGGGAAAATGGGACTCCATGGGCTCTTCTCTCTCTCTCTCTTTTTTTTTTGAGTTGGAGTCTCACTCTGTGACCCAGACTGGGCGCTCCTGGCCACCGCTGCCTCGACCTGCTGGGCTCAGGAGATCCTTCCGCCTCAGCCTTCCAAGTAGCTGAAACTACAGGCACGCGCTACCACGCCCGACTCATTTTGATTTTTTGTAGAGATGAGGTCTCGCCAAGTTGCCCAGGCGGGTCTCAAACCCACGGGCTCAGGCAATCCACTCACCTCAGTCTCCCAAAGCGCGGGATTACAGGCTAAGCCACCACCGGCAGACATGAATACTGCCCCTCGACCCGCCTGGTGGTTTGCCTGTTTACCTTCACAAACGCTCCAGACACAGGCTCTCTGTTGTGGGTCTTCTGTCAACACAAACATCTTTCAGTGCCGGCCTGATACTCTCTAATAGCTGCTGATAATTATCTGAACTATCCCTAGCAAGCATCTCCTCTCCTTCCCCTTGCTTTGGAAGCTTCTGAGTTCGGCACTGGACAAGCTCAAGAGCGTGGGCTCAGCAGAGGCTGGGGACGCAGGACCTGAAGTGACAGACTCCTGTCACCTCCTCTGGCACTACTCCAGGGTATTCTGGGTCAAAAAAGGCCCTCTCTGCAGATGTCCCATTGCTGCAGGTGTTGCACCTTGCACTGGGTACCCTGAGCGTTGCCAGCTTTGAATTCAAACAGGCAGAAACTAATAGGAAAGTTTATCTCAGGGAGAAAGCAATACAAAACTCTAACCTTCTAGAATGCAAGTTCCAAATCCCCCAAGAGTTGCTCCTTCCAGTCGAAAGTCAAATGCTCTATCAGATGGGCGTCCTTCTGGGTTCACTTCAGAGGACACGACGATACCAGCCCTCATGAGTACTAAGATCTGTTTCTAAAAACAGCAAGCCCCCACTAGGATAAGAGCAACACCGGAAATCCTCAGCACACTGCATAATAGAAGCCAGCTTGGCCTGACCAGTCACAGATTAAACCTGGCCAAGCCAATTAGGGAGGAATCCATCAGTTGATTTTCAATCAGAGCTTTACCAAGCCTGCTGCAAAGTGCTCCAGAAACGCTGAGTTGGAAGCCCAAAGACTGGAAATCGTCCTAGGTACAAACCCCACTGGTTTTCTTTTCTCGCACTCCAACAGCCAAGGGACCTTCTAGAATAACCACCAACCACACACTGCCTGGTGCTGGAGACAATTAAATCATGAGCGATTTCCCAGGCTTAAGTTAAAATAACAAGAGGGAGTGGGTTAAACTAAACAAGACAGCATCCAGCGAGGACATTTCAGGACACTCTGCCTAAGGAAGACAAATAGCATATTAGGCAAAGTAGAATGGAGTGGCCAGGATCTTGGTGAAACGGTTCTGATTTTTTGCTCATTTCCTTAAAATTCTTCAGTGAAAACATCTGCCCTCTCAAAGTGTGACAGTAAGTTTAGACCCTTGGCCTGGCATCCAAGGCCTCTTATGATCTGACCCTAATTTATTTTTCCACACTCATTTCCTCCCTGCCCACATTTTTGTGCTCAGGGCAAGTATTTTGTTAGTATGTTGGAGACCAATTCTGTCTGCGTTGCAACCATTCCAAAACGCTTTTTTTTTTTTTTTTTTTTTTT